CAAATTTACTACAGGTACCTACTGTCCTGTTTTGACCATAGAATGAAATATGGAGATAACGAACAGTATTCAAGCTCAAAGTCCATTAAAACAATACAGATCGGGAGCAGAGCAAACACAGACCCCCAAAAACAGAGGTGGGATTAGGTGCCATGGAGGAGTAAGCATCCCCTGCCGACCGGTCACACCCGTCGTGTGCTCCTTGTCATGATCGGTAAATAACGAAAAAAAATTCGTCGACAATTCAGTGTGTAAATAATGGCCTAACAATTAGTATGAAAAACGCCAGTCTGCTGATGACTTAATGATAGAATGTATTTTCTGACAAGGTCATTGTATCGACCATTGAACTTACGAAATGATGACTTTAAGCGAGACTTGTTTGTCAACAACTTACTTCGTCTTCGAAATTGTTCATAGAGCATGCTCTTGCGTATCGAATCAACTGAGAAATATACACACCATATGCAGGTGATAATGGTATATTGCTGCATAAGTAAGGGAAGTTGTCTATTGAAAAGTTTTAAAGTCATCACGTTTATCATAAAGCTTTGTTGTTAGATTACAATTAACGTCTTTTTCTAGTAAAATATCCAAATATAAAACAGATGTGTCAGACTCTGAGGTATCTGTTATTTCAAGCTCACTGGGATATATCGTGTCGACATGTGAATGGAAATAACTCTTGTTAATTGATAATATGTCGTCGATATATATATCTAAATGTCAAGTTGAAGGCCACAGCAAGAGATTTCTTTTTCTCTTGTATAAGATTTTGAATAAATTCTGCTTCATATGAATACAAAAATAGGTCTGCTGAAAAGGGGGCGCAATTGGTACCCATGGAAATTCCAACAGATTGTTGGAAGACCTGGTCTCTAAAACCCACATAGATATTGTCAATCAAAAACTCAAGCATCTTTTTAATTTCAACTTCAGAGTATTTGTGAGTACAATCACAATGTTTTTTAACAAAATAATTTTGCAGATGGCCAATGACAAGGTAAATAAATTTACGAGTTCCATTTTTATTGAAAAACAAAAACAGTTGTCAATGATGTCAAAACGCCTGGACTTTAAGTTTTCGTGGAGAATGGTTGTATACAGAGTTGAATAGTCGTAAGTTTTAGAATAAATTAAGGTCTTTTATAGATACATGAGATCAAATGTAATTTACACATGTAGCGAGATTGGTGCCTGTAATTTCTGCGATTATCCACATGTGATCTACTGACGTTCTAATTCTCTCTTTCTAGCGATGAATAATTTTTGCCAAGTTACCTTTTAATTTTAAGTATGCTTGAAATTTTTCATTAAAGATGTTTTATTCGGAGATGAGGGCATTTTGAATATTAATAAAAACAAATGTTTCCTGTACCTTTAAAAGAAGACAAAAGATAAAGATAAGGTTAATGAAATGGAACTTACCACACAACCTTTATATTAGTTTTTGTTACATAAGTATCTCAGGTATGTAAGATGAGCAATTTAAATTTAGATTACTGTTATTTTGAAGATTTTTTTCTGGTCTGTAACAATGCAGCTTTCAGTCTTCATATGAAAGGTTAAACAAAATAAAGTGACAGCTTAATTATTGATGCAAAAGAATTGTTAAAACATATTAAATGATTTTTCAATGCGCACCAATTACGAAATTGGTTTTTGATAATCCACTGAAACTTGATGACAGAATTACAGACTTTTGAACAAATTTGCATTCTAAAACAAGTCAAAAGATGTACCTTTGTGAATAATGGTAGTAGTTGATGTTTTCTATATATAGATATAATTATAAAACCATGCTAATAAACTGTATATTAATTTTCATTTCTTATTTTTGAAAAAAAAAATGAAATCAATTTCCTATCTTTGATAGTATGCGGCTTTTTATCATTAAACTATACCTGTTGAAAAATACAAACCATAAATAAAAAAAAATTAAATTAAAAATACATATACATGTATATATATGATTGCCTAGTTTATTAAAGCTCTGTGATGGTAAATTCTAATATCAATCAGTCTGGATGTAAAAGGTGAAGATAATTTGGTACAGTGACCATGCCCTGGGGGAGACGGGTGAAAGACTTGCCAGACAAAAGACTTGGTGTCTTCGGGGATGATCAACACTAAGGAGGGAGGAATGTGGCGAGTCAGGCAGGTTCGATCGCCGGTGGCCGGATAGCTCAGCTGTAGAGCACCTGACTGATGAATCATGTGTCCCGGTTCGAATCCTAGTCCGGTCCGTCACATTTTTCTCCTCTCCTGTTACCAAGGGCTTAGCTAGGGGATATTGATTGTGGAAACAAATAAGGGCCGGAGTTGAAACCGACTTAAGGCTCCCAATGGATCCATGGTGAAGGCCTATTGGGGGTATCCGGGAGCAAAATCCCCAGAAGCTCGTGGGATTTTAACATTTCTGACGGCTTAATGTGAACTTCCGAAGAAAGGAGATTTAAGGAACATTAGAAACTGAAAAAAAAAACACCAAAATCTGAAAGCTTTTAAGATCTGAAGTTACAAATCCTTGTACTGATATTGGTTGAAACGATTCACTGCAGGAGTCTATAATAACTACCTTTTTATAACAGAATATGATTTCTATCCAATGAGTTCAATTAAATAATTTAACCATGTATTTTATGGGTTCGCTTATTGTCTTAATTATTTTTCAGTTCATTCCCAAAGTATAATGAATAAAAAATTGAGAATCTCATCCATTTCAAATATACAAATTTGTTATCATTGCCAAGTTATGGATATCGTATTGTTAACAGTATATTCCAGGTTTGAAATAACAATAATCATTTTCATTCATACGATTATTCGACACATCGTACTTAACGTGAAATTAAGAACACTACAGAGTCTGACAAAGCTTCTTTTAATTTGGATGTTCTACTTGAGAAACTCATTAATTTCAAACAACAAAACTTTGTGATAAACGTGATGACTTAAACTCTTTCATCGTCAACATTCCTAATTATGAGGCAAAATACCATTATCATCTACATATGCTGGCTGTGTTTCCTATCTGATTCGATAAACAGGAGTATGTTCTACGGACAACCAGTTCTAACCGAGGTAGGCTAGTGATAAAATTAGCTCATACTACAAGGATGTTAAAAATTTCGTTTAAAAACAATGTAAAAGGTAGAGATAAAGAGTAGTGATCAATCTCCAAAAAACCACAAACAAGACAAATATGTGAAGAGGGCATAAAAAACGGACGCCTGGAAATCCCAGAGGTGGGATCAGGTGCTTAGGAGGAGTAAGCATCCCCTGTTGACCGGTCACACCCGCCGTGAGCCCTATGTATTGATCAGGTAGACGGAACTATCCGTAGTCAATTCAGTACAAAAACAAAGGCCTAACAATTGAAACAAGTCAGCCAAAATACGACCCAATGATAGGCTATATTTACTAACAAGGTCATTATAACGACCGTAAAATTTATGAAATGCTGACTTTAAACGAGGCTGTTGAATTCCCTGTAACATCAATTTACACTGTAACAGTGAGTATCCTTCCTAGCTTTAAAAATTGATCGTACTCAGAGCAAGCTCTTGAGTAGCGAATAAGATGAAAGACATAAACACCATAAGCAGGTGATCGTGGAATATTACTACATAAATAAGGAAAGTTGACGATAGAAAAGCTAAAGTCTCTCCTTTGTCATATTTCGCAAATTCTATGGTCGATACAATGACCTTGTTTGCTAATACATGTCGTTTGGTCAAATCTTGAATAACGTTTTTGAAGCAAGTTATTAAGACATCATCCTCATGGAGAATTGTTTACGGAGCAGTACGTTTACCAGATTAAGACAAAGGCTCCAAAGTATGTGACAGGTCGAGGGTGGATGCTTACTCCTCATTGTTTTTTTTAGAATGATTGCTTTTAATAAAATGTTATCTTCACATGTCATCAATCTTCTTTAGTCTATTACACATGTTACATGAGACACGTGAGATACTAGGCATTCATAAAAAGAGTTCGATACTCTGTGATGCTTTTGAACTACAATATAGTCAGAAGTTATTACTTCACAGCAACTCTAATTCAAAATTAACATTAAAAAAACTATATTCCAGTTTTTCACTAACTTACTAGAGTTTGATATACTGCCATTTATCAGTAAATACACAAAGTTGATAATCTACATTTGACTTATAAATTATTCAATTTTCCAATAAGGAGCCAGACTCGACTTATTTGGGTCAGTGAAGCCTGGATTAGTTGATTAAAGCCACTGAATGAAATGTCAGTGAATTAGATTAATATTCAGAATTTCTCCGAATCATTCAATGAATTAAGATTTTTACAGAAAAAAACCCAGTTCACTTTTTTTTCAGTTATTAATGTAAATTTTCTATGATATAATCCTCCTTTATTTAATTTGATCTGCTCGCTATTGTTTATTCAATTATTTTGAGTATATTCGTTTTGATTATAATAGTAAAATTCAAAGTGAAATTAGAATTATTTTTAACAATTAATCTATCCTTAGTTTACTCAAGTCATTGTTTGGTTAGAAAATTGAGATATATCATGTAATTTTGTGATATTATCGTTTAATGACTAACCACATGGTCTACTTTAACAAACCCTGCCTAGAGATGTCAGATTGATTCGAATTCTACACCTATATGCACTCTTCAATACCAATTCATGACTTTACGAGAGAAGACTAGACAATATATATTATTTTTCTGCGGGGAGATACGTCATCACCATGGATGTTCTGGGTCTCATATCCGTCATTTTGCGGTAACCGTAAATCATTAATTTTTTCTATTAGCATGAATTTGAATTCAATGAGAAGAATGAAACATAGGTGACTATTAAAAGAGCAAACCAGAAACAGAGCAAATGCAAATCATTTCTTAGGCATGACTATAACAGTCAATCATACAGTCCTAAGCCATTGATGTTTCTAATTAGTTTATATATAATGTTGATAGGTTACGACATCAGTTTTTAAACCGACCCTACCGTCAAGAAGAAAGGACTACAAAAAGAAATTTTAGGTCGACAGGCAAGAATCAAGGAGACGAACGATAAAAAATGTCCTTTCGGTGTGTTTGTTTACTGCTTTTGGTCGTATGTGATGTAATAGATGCACAGCTGGATTGCAGCATAATTTTACATGGGACATATGACTACATCGTCGGTAAGTCTTAAGCACTGTATGGTTTTATTTGCAGAGATATAGCCACTACGCAGAGAAAATATAATGCCAAATGTATTCAGCAACTCCTTTCGTTCGTTTGTGTGCAAATAAGCAACATTTATTAGTTTGAATTCCAGTGAATATGCCTGTATATAATTTAATTCACGGCAACCAATTTCCTCTTCATTGTCCCGAAGCTTTATTTAACGAAATGTTTTTAGAAAAAAATCTTTAAACAGTGTTTTTGTAAAACCTACGCACACTTTGATGTTCAATCAAAATACATGTAGCTAAAGGGAAATGTGTTTGACGTTTTAATATCAATAAATATTAATTGATAAGATTTGGGGAAAAATTATACAGTTCTGTTATATGATCAAATAAATAAGATAAATATTCTAAATTAATGTTTAAAAACTAACTGTACTTGTTTCCTGTATTGACTTTTGTCGAAATAAAACTGGTCTCTCTCTGAACAAATTTTTTTGTTACTATAATTTTAATCAAATATCTACCTTCGAAGCTGACAACTGAGTTAAATTCAAATTGTTTCCATAAATTTTCCTGTAATTTATTATATTTATGATTGAGTCTTTATTGATCATTTAATAAATTGAAGAAAATAACATTAATTGTATTATCTCTTCAAATGGACTTCATTTCTTTTAGTGATTTGTTTAAAGCAGGTTAAATCATACATGTATAAATATTGTAACTGACAGTTCTTTTCAATTACTGGAGACACTACATTGAGGAGAATTAATCATAGTAAATCGATCAATCAAAGTGACAGGAAATTCATAGGATCTGATTTAGGATATCTGTGAGTTGATTCAGTATAAATGAATCTACATATGACATTAATCTTAAAAACGATAAGAATTGTATATGCCATTATTTAATTAGTCTTGTCAGAATATCACCATTTAATTAATGAGATTTATCTTCAAAGGTGACATTTCTGCCACTGTGTTGTTATCTTGGGCAAACAAAGTTTCATTAGTAACTCTTAATTGTCTACTTGTTTGTTCCAAAACAGTAAATTATTTCACTTCTTTTAGAATAACCTTATTAATTACATCTCTGGAGTCTGAAGTGAGTGCAAATATGTTCCATGTATTCAGCAAACGCCAATTGATACAAAACTATCATCGGCTATTTCGACTGTAAAGCGACTAGAACTATCCTAAATGAAACTCATGTATAATAATATATTGACAACGATAATGGTGTATGATTAGAATAAAATGTAAAAAAAAAAAAATAATAATAAAAAAGGGGGGGGGGGACTATACAAAAGTTTCTTGGTAAAAATTCTGTATTATTTGATCTGACGTTTATACTTTCGAAAAAGAGTTTCTCTTTCTTCTTTGTTTGGGGGTGTTCTCGAGTCTTTTACAAAATAACTACCACAAAATGTAAAATCAATTAGAGAAAATTAACAATAGTTAACTGGTATAATTACAACATGCATGTATAATTTTGAAAAAATGAATTGCAAATATTAGCTTTTTTACTGTCTATTTTTAAGAAATATTCTTTGTTCGTGTACTAATTTAGTAGGAAATCGTTTTAGTTGTAATAATTAATTTTAACAAGGATGCCTTTGTTTTTGAGGTTAACAATAAAATTGCAATTTATATACATTGTCACTTAATTATAAAACAAGTCATATTTCAAAACCAAATGCAAATTTAAGAAAGAAGTATGCAATCCAAAACAGCAAAGGGTCAGTCACAAATTACATGGAGTCGGATGTATTAAACAATGGTAACAATTGTAAAATATTAAATTTATTTTCTTACAAAGGGATTTTGAAGACTTAAAAGGCCATTTTATTTCCGATCTGCTTCGCAGTACAGTTAAGGTGCGCAATGGAAATATCGGCATTTTTTGTGATTAAAAAGATATTCTTAATCTGGATGGCGATTCTTTTCAGTACTTTATTGATTTCCGACAAATGTAATTATTATTAATAACTACATATTGAAGACGATAAGATTTTATATTTAGACTTGTCACGTGATGCGGCAGTCACGTGATATAACACATATACTGGCAATATTGAGGTCACCTATAAATTTCACTAGTGCAAGGGCATAATCAAGTTAAAATTCTAAATTTAGAGTATAAATATTTTCAACACATATCGAAGTTTCTGAAAAGTGCTGCGATCCTCTATAGATTCTGCTATTTCATTGTTAAAATCATATTTATATGACCGCATTCTGTATTTTTTGCTGGTCAACGGCATTAAATATAGATATAATTAATTCATTTTCAAGATTTCATCAGGATCGCAGCACTTTTCAGAAACCTTAATGCTTCTAGAGTTTATATGTAAAAGCTTACTGTGATCCATTGAATGTATGCCCTTGCACTAGATCGATTTATTAAGACCCTTACATTACCCTCCGATGTACTTGCATACAAATATACGGTAGTATCAATTAAATAGGAAATATACGGAATATATATAAATAAAATCATAAAAAAGACATCGCATCCAAGTTAATGGCCTCTTAAATATCTTTAAATAATATTTTATTTAATTATAGGATACATTTTCGGTGTTAAAATATCTCTTGATCCGCCTCTCACTGCATACAAACTGCGTCAGGTTTTACGAAATGACGTCACATCGACAAGTGCATCGCGATCAGTGACTTGTTTATACCTTGCTATGTGGAATTTAACTAAAGACAAAACAGCATGTTATAGTAAGTTTAGATTTAGATTGATGGTTTCCTATAGTTAAAAATAGCAAATCATTTCATTTTCTAGTATTTTTAAGAATTGTTGGTTTTGTATGATGTCATAGTTAACTTTTCCCGTACAAATTAGGCTCCGCCCCCTTTTTGTAGCCTTAACTGTGCTGCGTTTTAAAAACGTTTCAGAACTCCCACCTTTACCTCTCCGAGTGACTTTATTTTACCCTCATGATAAAGTAATTAATTCAATTCATTGTTTTATTTATCAAATTTTTTCACAAATCGACGAGCACTAAAAGCAATTAATTTAATGAACATCATTATGTGCCAATGAGTTGCACATGGAATAACTCTTCTGAAAAACCACAATTCAGTATTCGCCGATAGAAACTGATTCATGATGACGACTTTTCCTGTCATATTCCCGGATACGGTAGATTTCATGCTGGACAAATTTAAGATAAATGGATGATTGAAATTCAAGTTATTTAAGAAACTACACGACGCCCTTGATTTTTCCCTAAATAGTTAAATATGCTTGTCAGATCATTGCATGAGCCAGATAATTGAGAGGCATTCTATTCTAAATATTGTTTGTATTAAAAAATAAATAACCCTATTTTATTCCTTTATTAATTATATAATTAGAAATATTTACTACTTTGAAAAAAAAAATCATATAACCTACCTACCAAGTTTGATATATAAGAAAAATAGCATATTGGACTAAATAAACTTACAATTTTACAAGAAAACAATTGGTATCTTGATTGGAACTTCTTTTCTGGCCACTTAATTTATATATTATATTATATTATATTATATTATATTATATTATATTATATTATATTATATTATATTATATTATATATATATATATATATATATACATACATACATACATATACATACATACATATTAGTATGATGCTTAAGTTTTGTAATTTACAATGTGTTTATAAATTTTTGTCTTATCGAAACGGGTGATTTTTGGTAAATGGAACTTTAATGACATGATTATTGCAAATATACCATGCTATAAAGATACATACAAAATGAGGTTAATCAAAACATAAATCCTAATTTTATGTGTTCTCTCCTAATAATGATATGTTGCATGTATGATTTGTTTGAAATTTAAAATCACAAATAAGATCGCGCGCATATTTTGTGGTGTTCGTCACTATTTACGGCAGATGACGACACAATGTGATTAAAAAAGATGAAAAAAAAAACATGACCAGGTAGCAAAGTCTGTAAGGTTATTAATGCAGTTTCTTCTTCTGTAAAGACCGCTTACGATAAAATTATATGTGGTTGAATTAATTTTATTCAATCTCCAATTTAATTGATTTTTTCCTTACGAAAAGCACACAATATAAAATGACAATATAATATACCTGTGAAAGAGTTCAGGAAACGAACATCATTCAATGAATGTCTCTTGTAATCAGACTGTCTAATTCTGTAGTGGGCGGTGGAACATCCGGGTCAGTTATTGCCTCTAGATTGTCAGAGGATCCAGACATCCGGGTCCTTTTATTGGAGGCTGGAAAAGCGGATGACGAAACATTTGAAAGTCACGTGATCGACACCCCAGGTCTTTCCAACAGCCTCGTCGGAAGCAGTGTAGACTGGAAATACGAGACAGAACCTCAACAGCATTGTTGCGATGGCGTCAAAGACAAGGTATATCCCACGAAGACCTAAATTATGGCCTCACATAAAGTACAGTAAATGCAGTAAACGTATAATTGGTCAAATTCACATTTTTGTTATAACTAAAAAGATGTGCTTTTTATCCACACTTGTTTTCATAAATATCTTCATTGAGGAAATGGTAAAGAAAACAAGACAAGATTAAGATGTATTTGGTTTAAAAAAACAATAAAGCAAATCTTTAATGTGAGAATACGGGTTAGTGAAATAGATATTTTACTTAATAACAGATTTTTCTTCACAGAAAGTCAGGTTATCACGTGGAATGGTTTTAGGAGGTACATCAGCGATTGATTCAATGGGACACATCAGAGGAAGTGAGCACGTTTTCGACGAATGGGAGCAGTCGGGAGCAGAGGGCTGGAACTTCACTGGTGTAAAAGATTTCTACAAGATGGCAGAGGATGTGAACATTAAACGCGTTCCACTGACAAGTTTGTATAAACTATATAAAATCTTAAATATATTTTAACTTTATGGGTCTATAAAGATGCACGTCATTGTACTGTCCAAACAGAGTAATATTCATATGACTTTCAGCTCACAGAGGACAATGTGGGCCTGTACACGTTATGGAACAAAAAGATGACTCCTTGAGGTATTCTATGTTTAAAGCTGGAACGACAGAAATGGGCTGGCCAGTGGTGGAGTGCAATATTGGAGAGAACATTGGTAACTTCTATTAACGTGCTTTGTGATTTTTAATCATCTTAGAGGTTGTCAAACAAGTATTAAAAAGAATCAAATATCTGAAAGGAGATGGGCGAGCATAGCGTGCAGAAAGCCTATAGCTTCAGATATATCAAAATCATGTTCAGTTTGTGAATTTAGTATTAAGAGTAAAGTTCTCATTATTGAAATTTATGAAATTATGATAAACAAAACTTTTCTGAGGAAAATTTTCTCGGCAAAATTTATTCTTTTATTTAAAAAATTAATGTGGTGTTCGTTGGGTTCGAACCCTAGCAATAAAAATCCTAAGTATCATTTTCTTTCGAGACTATCACGCTAACCAACTAGACTACACAAGTCCTGATGAAGAGTGGCATTTAAATCATGTTTGTGATATGACCCTTGACTTAATGGACTTCAAGTATTTCTCGAAAAGATGCGAATGTTATGTCATAAAAGTATATTTTTAAGGTATAGTGGGTCATTGTTCCATATTTTTGGTAATCAAAAAATGTATATTTTTATGCAAACTTTGAGGAATAACTTTCAAAAAGGTGGAGCGAAGACCCACTCATATCGAAAAATAGTGTTCTAGTATGAGAAAATGACCCTTTTTGTCCGCTTTAGTGTGTGTCTAAAATTTCACAGGCAAATAATTTCAATCTTTGAGGGATTCTTGCAAATTGTAGAGATTTTACATAAAGCATATTTTAGTATTAGACGACATGTCAAAGAAAATTTTGATATAATTAAAATTTATTTTTTCATCTTCATGTTTGTCACACTGTAGGTTTATCGCTCGTCATGTTCACCCATCTCCTTTAAGTATTTTCCACTTGAACTATAACAGTCTCATCATTTTGTCATTTAGGTCTTTGTCGGAGCCAGCTAACAATAAAGCATGGGAATCGTATCAGTTCTGCAAAAGCTTATCTTAACCCCGTGAAAAAAAGGGTTAACTTAGATATCCAAACAGAGGCAAAAGTTGTAAAGGTTTGTTATCGATTCTGGAAGCATTATATTTGTATGTGTGTCCCTTGTTTTAGAAATGTCATTCATAGAATATTGATTCCATTTCCCTTCCAGATCTTAATTGATGAGTATGATCTCCGAGCAACTGGAGTGATATTTGTCTACAAAGGAAAGGATTACACCATCAAAGTGCGACATGACGTTATTCTGGCCGCTGGTCCCATAGAAACACCTAAACTATTAATGCTTTCTGGCATAGGAAAACCAGATCATTTGTCTGCCCTGAATGTAAGTTGTAACAAAGTCATTAGGAGAGGAAAGAGAAAACCAAAGAATCCTGATTAGAATAATATTAATAAAAATGAGTTCTATGAGAGACTCTATGAAAATGAGGATAGTTTGAATATTCTATTCCAGATAACTGTTTTAGAGGATTTACCCATTGGAAATAATTTACAAGATGGTTACGTAGTGCCTCTACGGTTGTACGTTAACCTCCCAACATATCGACCGGACAAACCCATGGAAAACGTACAGAGATGGAGAGATTACATCTATCTTAGACGAGGTATGTAGAATGTAAGGTATGCAAGTGGAAGGTTTCCCAATAAACATGCAAAGTCCATCGGTAAATAAAATTAAAAAAAATCGGTCATCGAACTTCTGGCAACTTTTTAATGAACTAATTGCTCCATTTACACTTTTATTCGTCTCGCTTATAAATGCATTTTGTTTTTTTAAAGGTGAATTAGCAGATGGACTCCTTGATGCACATTATTTTTTGAGAACGTTACCAAGCAAACCAACACGATATCCAGACATTACAATATCTGTTGTCAACATGTTGCCAGATAATGACCACTCACTATTAATGAAGATGAACGTGGGAAAACATGTATGTACACGTGTAATCGTGAACTCGATAGTTTTACTTATTTATCTTCATCTAGGGGCTCTCAGATCTTTATTTGGATGTGTATGATTTCAGTTGAGAGACACTTGGTATAAACAAGGAAGAGGGAAGAATGGTGTCTTGTTGGAACTAACTTTAATGCATGCTAAAAGTCGTGGAACAGTCCGACTTAGAAGTGCTGACCCCAACGACCCACCAATCATAGACCCCAACTACCTAGCAGAGTCTGAAGATGTGGAGGATCTACGAAAAGGTAAAGAGTAGAGGGTGGTTAACAAGGATTCAAAATATCCAATTCTCAAATTGAACTACAAAAACTTTCTTTTTATTGTTGTTGAAGAGAGCTTCTTTGTTGCTTTGCAGGTATTGAATTCATTCAAAGGCTTGCCAAAACTGGCGCATTCAAAGCAGTGAATTCGGAGTTAGAGGAGAAATTTGCAGAATGCGGAAATCACCCAGCCAACTCTCAGGCTTTCTGGAGGTGTTATATTCGATATTTAGGATACAGTTCAAACGAACTTGTGGGGACTGCACGAATGGGTAGACTAGAAGACAATACTACAGTGGTAGACAGTTCTTTACGGTGTGTACATGTATATTGTCATATTTTGAATAGTTCTTAAGTGCAGATTCAATAACATTTCCAAAATATATTAACGAGATATACCTTTTCCTAAATAAGATGAGTATTTTATTTTGTATTTTATTTTCTAAATCTGACTTTTAGAAAGTGCCTTAAGTGTGAATATAATTTCTTTGCCGGTGCATCTTTTTCAGATGACAAGTGCAAATGGTTAAGTAAAATGTGAAAATGTTGACATTGTATTTTTTGGCAGAGTAAAGGGAATAAAGGGTTTGAGAGTAGCAGATGCATCGATAATGCCACAGAGTACAGGAACAACTCGAGCGTCGGTGATCATGATTGGAGAGAAAGCTGCAGATATTATTAAGAGAGATTTCAAAGAGTCTAAGGAAAACATCTATAAGCCCCATGCATTTATAAAAGCAAGTAAAACAGCAGAAATGAAAAATTTAGATCCACTTACATCAAGCATTTATGACACAAAACAATCTCTTGTCAAACTTGAGAACACGAAACCTCTAGATCCAGTGACATCTCCACTGAACACGGCATCAGAGACTGATCTGTTGAGTATGTTTGAACAACTAGTAATGGATCCCATTACAGATCCAAGCCCACCTCTAGGAACCGAAGCAGGAAACCTGGGCATTGGTACTCATTTAGCCTCGGGGATCTTAGATAAATCTGGTCGCCTTTCGGAGAATGCTTTATTACAGATTGTAGGAGCTTCATCGGGATCCACAAAATCGACAGCAGGTGAAATATCTGCTTTGGCAAGCACTCAAAATGCTGCTGATCAACCAGCGGATAAACCAAGTGCGACGGCTAATTTCGTCAAGGCCGCAAGAAATACTATCAAACAGGCAAAGAGTCCACACATTAAGGATTCTGCAAGTCCAGATATTTTCTCAGAAATCCAGAATCTTTCTCTAGATTTGCAAACTACTTCAAAAAACAATAAACCATCTCTTTCACCTAAGGTTAATACGTTGAGTATTGAGAGATCCAAGATTCCAGCAACTACCAGAAAAAATCCTGAAAATTCTAAAGCAGAAGCAACAAAACAAAAACCAGTTAAGAAAAATGGGAATTCAATAGTTAAACAGAAATCCGCTCAGTCACATCCAAAAGTAAAACACCGTATAATTGATATGCATTCAATAATGAAAGGGCAGTCTGCTCCTAGTTCAGTAAAAAGAGTTATTGATATGCATTCCCTTTTAAATAGTAAACCGACTGTCTCTGTAGATGCTACAAATCCTCAGTTACCGCTTACCCTTGATGGTGTCCTTAAAGCAAATAGTGAAATAAAACGTCCACTGTCTGCTTCCCTTCAGAGAAGTCGTGTGTCTACTGAAGGCACCGAATCTTTATTTGACAATCATAGAGAAGTGTTCCCTAGCAGGGAGCCGGATGTTCGAGGTTTTGGAAGCAGTGCTGGTTCACTAATACCTAATACTTTACACACGAGAAGATCAAATCGCAGGCGAAATGCATTAACAGGAAGTGTCTTTCCATGAAAAAGTAAACTTTATAACTAAAACAGACTCTTTAACTAAAGGGAGATTATTTATTTGGTGTACAGGATGACAGAAATAATAAATCAATTTTATTGGTGAAAGATATGTGTAACAGCTGTTTCAGACATCTTTTCTGTTTGGTCGGTTTAATATTCGTATAAACATTCATATAAACCTGAAAAGTAGAAAAAAAAAAGTCTTTTATCTATGCATAATGTTGCCACAATTTCAATCATAATGAATTCCATTGATCACGAATGCTCTATCTTCAAAGACAATTACAAAACATGAGTCTTTGACATCAGGTGTGTGATTGAACTAATTAATTAGTTGTTGTGTTAATGTCAAATAGGACTTACCAATCTTTTGGTTTTTGTACAGTTGTGCATTTTCTTTGATTTGTTTACATAATTTACAACAGTGCTTTCTGTAATCGTCACAAAACAACTCGGGTTGGTTCGTGTAAAGACATTTCTGCCTCCAAGAGCAGTGCTCGTATTGTCCAAAGTCATCACACTCCTCACCTTGACCTGAAATATATCCACAATGATATGTATTGGTAAGAAATCGTAAACACCAAATACAAATATGTAATAGGATGAAGAAATAAATTCAAGTATTTGTCCAGCAAAATATGTAAAGGTTAGTAAAAGATAAGAGACCATACTCAGTTAAACCCTGCAGTTATGCCCTACATGATACACATGTATGAACATGTCCATTAGGATGTGTGACAGACTAACTATAAGTGAAAATAGATACCAGACAAGAACATATATGCTATATGAGCTGCTATGTAACCGTATGAAAAGAGACACAAATATATCCAGCATATATGCCAAGGTTAGGAAAGATAGACACAAAACACAAATATGTTAGGCATGATATGTAATAGCTAGAGAAGGACACTAGACACAATCATGTCAAAAACGTGACGGTATGTAAGAATACACCTCAGAAAGATAAATATTCAACATGGCATGTAGATTTTGAAAAAAAATATATATATATACATACGAAAATATAATGGATTGATAAGAGAAATACCAGGCTAAAAATATACATGTATCAAGCCTATAATGTTTCTGTAAGAAGAAAATATATACCTTTAGTTACAAATTTATAGCTACATTAATTGTAAGGGTTATCAAAAATATACACCATACATTAAGATATCTGGCATAAAATGGTACGGTTAGTATAAATGAAAGCTAAAAAAATATTCTGTATAGCATGTCACATATACAAAATATAACAGTTGGTGAGGAAACGGTAGATTATGCAGCATAATCATTTAGTCTCTCGTGTTAAATCGTTCATCATTTCCAGTGCTTACATATTTTTTTCATTTTTATGCAGTCACAACAAATTGCAATAAATTAAACTAATTCGTCTTTAAAACTCTTATTGTCGAAAGTATTCTCTGCTAACTATGATTTTAAAAAATATTATGATTTAGAGCTTAACGAAAAATGTTGATGGGTACAAATTGATGGGGATTCTTATAACCATGTATGCCTTTCTTATATGTAGAATGTCTTTAATGTATGGCTCTATTGACTGTGTTTTTTGTGTATAAGTTTATGTATAGCTGTTTTATATTATCAGTATTTGAATTGTAAATTAAATGAATAAATAATTCAAAAAATTGTCTATGATGACCAAAGAGAGAGATTGAGAGAGAGAGAGAGAGAGAAAGATGATTATGATGATGATGGTGATGTTTTACATTAGCCTCTCTTAGATATTAGGTGAGAGAGAAAGAAAGAGAGAGATGGAGTGAGAAGGGGAAATGATGTTTGCATTAGCTTCTTTTAAACATTAGGAATATGAGAGAGAGAGAGAGAGAGAGAGAGAGAGAGAGAGAGAGAATATGAAAACTTCTACTCACCAGATATGATCGTCATAAAAAGTACACACATGATGACAGGAAAATACAGACGAGGCATTTTCCACACTTGTTGATTAGAAAGGATCAGAACAACTGTGAAATACTGTACAAAGGGATGGGATTATTCTTTGCCCTTGGACTCTTTATTTTGTTCACAGCTGGACGTTTTATATTATCTAAAAAATAAATAAATAACGTTTATTATTGTCGTGTTATCCATCACATACTAGAGCATAGCCATGTACCATATTACATTTCATAACATTCGAAAGATTTATGAATTTGTTTTGTTTGAAACACATGTACAGTATCTCAGTAACTTTATAGATATCAAACAAATGTAATGAAAAACTTAATTACCTGATCTCAGGTATCAGGGATCTCTGAGGACTCTGTTTACAGTTCTATTTTGATACTAGCATTTTGAACGTCTTAATTAGCGGTCGACTGAACATCGGTTTTCCTGTTTTAATAAGGTTCAGCATGGAACATCAAAAAATAAAATAAATTATTACATACATATGAATGATATATTTAAAAAAGAGAGATATAATTTCTTAAAAGATTTTCAAAATGATTAAAGCTGCTTAAATGAATTTGGGACTAAGGAGTAATTGTAGGTTAAGATAGGCCGTGTACATAAAAAATCTAACGTAAGATTCAGAACTGGTTACTCATCTCAATACATGTAGCCCATCATAATATTCATAATAAATAAATAAATAAATACAAATACAAAAATGGACGATTCTAAAGATCAAAATGTATATATGCATAAATATTTAAAACCATTAACATTCAAAAAATTCAAAAATATTTTTCAAACATTATGTTTAAGGCTCTTTTAGAAAATATTATATGAGGAACTGTAAAATTATGTGAAAAGTAATTGTATTCACCGTCAGCTATTTGACCAATGATTCATCATTTATTACTAGTTACGATTTTATTGTTGAAGCTTGTTTTCTTAATTCTTGTGAATGTACATTAAACATTGTTTACAGGATTTTTCACAAACGAATTCAAACTCTAGTACTAATGAAAGATGTATTTTGTGTATGGTAGGCACAATCTTTACAATGTGCAACCATCTCATTAGTATCGACAATACACACATCCTATAGCAACTCTTCCAAATGAGTTGTCTTGCTACTATTCCACTGGATGTAAATGGGCATCTTCAGAGATAGGTAAAATATGATTTTTTTAATGTTAATTTTGTTTAACTTAAAGATTGGGGAAAGACCTTCTGCACATTTAAAGTACATAGTTTTATGACTAAATATTCGTATCTTTTGAACAATTGTTTGAAGTTCAGTTTTTGAAGGGTTACATCACAACCAACTCGCTATAGGTTGCATACCTAACTGGTGAAAACTTTTGTTTCAGTGTCAATACTGATAGAAAGTTTATTATTTGAGTTCCATCTCTGAAAACTCATAAAATAATATTTCCTTTTTCACTATAGAAAAAAATGTTGATAGGATTCCTAAACTTCATAAAAATCCTTATAAACTAAGATACATAGCGGGGTTTAGTTTATGGTCCACTAAACCTCTTTCCTAATTCCTCACGAAAATATTAACGGTAGTGATGGAGAAACTTCAGGAGTAATGTACAACAACACATTCGAGAAGCTGTGTTAATCAGATATGGATATTTGAAAACTCCAAGGAACTTTTAGAAAATATCTAAAATCAAAATTTTTTTATCAAAATGAAAGCATCAAAAAGCACGACTTTTCAACACTTTATACAACTATTCCCCAAGACAAATTAAAGACCAGGCTTTTTGACATCATAGACTACTGCTTTGTCAATGAAATAGAGCTTGTAAATTTGCATATCCTGTCACTAAGCATCATCAAACTTACTTTGTTAAAAGAGTTGTGATTCTAGACACAAGTACATGTACTCAGAGAATGATATTAAAAGGATGCATAAGTTTCTCAATAACAATATCGTTGTAGTTTTGGGAGATCAGGTCTTCCCACAAACTGTTGTAAATCCCATGGGTATTAATTGTGCCTCTTTATTTGTAGACCTGTTTTTGTACTCATATATGCTCAATCCTCCATGGCACCGGATCCCACCTGTAAATTTTGAGGTCCGTGTTTGCTCTGCTCCAAATTTGTATCGTTTCATTGAACTTTCGAGATTGAATACTGTTCGTTATCTTCATATTTCATATGCAACAGAATTTATTTAAAAACTTCTACTTGAAAATAAGAAGTCTCTTGCTTTCGACTTCAATTCAACATTTACCGTTCAATGTAGCCTAGTGGTGAGGCGTTCGTTTGCTGATCGGGAGGCTCTGGATCGATTCCTGTTTTCCGCGCCGGGTCAAATCTAAGACAAAAACATATGTAGTGACTATTCCTTTGCCAAGCGCCCAGCATTAGAAATGAAAGTCAAGGGTCTTTCGGATGAGACCTTAAATTACAACTGGTCAAAGCATTTTAAGATACAACTTTCACACTAAAGCAGAGCCTTTACTATAGACAAAAGATCGTGAAAGAATAAAATACTCAGTAACAAAAGGGATTTCTGATGAAAACAGAAATCATTGAATAGTATTTCATTCAACTCCCATATTTCTCAGCTTTTAAAAAACAAATCTAAACCAAATTCAATACTTCTTGGGGGTTTAATTGAAGAACCATTTCTAGCAATGTATGACATGAAAAAATGCCATATGCAAACAATTAAAGTTCTTCAAGCATACAAATTAATGATGCTTTTCATATGTATCCTATTTTAAATGAACGAGAAGTTAACAATAGAAATTAAATAAGAAATTAAAAGGTAATTTTGTTTATATTTTAACAATTTAAACCATGTTTAGAATAATTTGTTCTACTTTATGCTTCGGTCAAGGTACGTTCTCAACGGGCACCTGTTGTGGTGAACCAAAGCACTATTTGATATAAAATCATCTCAACAGATGACAGTGTGTGAAAAGTTCTGGGCATAATTTGTCTCTCAGTTAGACATATTTATGTAAAGTTAAAAATGATTACAGACGGAGAAGGTTACACTGACAATTAGTATACAATACATATAATTAGATATGTTATTATTTATCATGCTTCTAACTTGCGCGTAAAAGTATTACTTCTATGAATGTCATTACATCTTGATAAGTTGTATGCTTGTCAAAATGTTTTATAAGTTTAATTTAATGTTAAGACTAAAAATTATTAGCTTTCCAACAAACCTTACATAATTCTATGCTTAGAACTGAGAATGATAAATCAAGCATCATAAAACTAAATCTGAAAGCCGAACTCCTTTTTTTTTATAATCATGTATTACTTTTTAAGCAAAGATATAGGCGATGCTTAAGATAATAATAACAACAGATGATAATCTTGACAAAGATTTATAAAGTGCGGCTAATTATCAAAGCAAAAATAAAATCATATGAACTTTTTATGAATAAGCTAACAACATTGCACATACTAGTAAACAAAGGAATGTACATTTACATTTCACTTCTAAAATTTTTACTATAGAGTATCAATAAACACCAATAATTTACTTGATAGATGTGGAATATGATTCTCAACACTGAGAAACGATGCACATTCATTATTTATTTTGATAATAATGTTCAACAAGTGCAGACCTGACCAGCTTCATCAGCTTCATTCCTGCTGGATCACCAATGGACATAAAAATATTTCATCGTTTAGTAACTCAAATATCCCACTAATAGTGATGCAACCTGAAATGGATAATGTGATAGGTATGGTATTAAGATAATTTTGTTTTTAGATTGGAGTTTTAGCACATTTTTCTCCTTTTATTGATAGTTATTGATAGTATGATATCTACAGACTGGGTTATCACAAAAACTTACAGTATGAACTAAATTAGCATTCAACAACCCTAGACTTAAGTTTGACCGACACTAGAGCCGTGGGTCTTGATAGTCACCTGAGCCTCATACATTTCTCAAGATAATAATACTGCTTTAGTCCCACCTGAAGTAGAACCCTGTCCACAAAAAATGTACTTTGCTGGAGACTCTATCTTCGCTATCATATTCGTGATGAAATGCAAGAGTAAAGACGATAAGCTATACTGTATAATAAAAGACCAACTAATTTCCAAACTAGGAATTTGATCCGTGGGCATGAATTTATATTTTATTAGCTAATTATAATCATGCAAACAATTTGCCTGCTACATGTCCATTTGTAATGAATATTTTCAAAAATATAATGTACTTTCAATATGCAATTCACCTTTGCCTCTCCCTAGTGTCTGAACCATTAGACAGAGGGTCAGAAATTTGACACTTATGGTACTAAAGAGTTATTTACCTTTTGGTAATAAAGTATTATTTACAATCATTTGTCTACTAGAAGTCAATGAGAATAGAAAAAATCCAAAGGATTAATGAATTTTAAATTCATAGCCAACTTAGCCTTCACCCCAACCCCTTCGAGCTTAAACTAAGGGCACATAATATTACACTTTAGATAAAAATGTTAGATAATCCTTGTAATCATATGATCAGTTTGCCCACACTATATTGTTATTAAAAAAATTCAAAGATGTATCTTCAATATATGACTAAATTAATCCCATCCTGATCACAGGAGTCCTGATTCTTAACTTTTTAAAATTTATTTATCTATTCTTTTATTTTATTATTTCTTTTTTAAAAAACAGTTTTAGTAAGCGGTAAAGTATTCACTGTGGTCGTCCTAACAGATTTTACTGCTAGATGCCCTTGAGTATTTTTTTTTTATA